TCAAATTTGGTGTGGGTTTTTTGGTCTTTGACAGGAAGATCTTTCCTGTCCTTGTGTCGCCAGTACATAAGGAAACACCAGGGCAAGATGGCGCAGACCAGGGGCGGACTGACCATTTAGAAACTCGGGCACTGCCCGAGGGCCCGGGGTCAGTAGGGGGCCCCATGAGATGCCTCTGGTACCTTTCTCATAGGCCTTTTTGAGTTTGGGCAAGGACACAGGGGCCCCATGATCCCCTATTGCCCGGGGGCCCCATGAGTTGTCAGTCTGCCCCTGGCGCAGACAACAAAAAATAGCATTGTCAGTCATAAGTTGTAATCATACCCCAGCCTACTAAAAGCATGTTTTCATTTTTTGTTTCTTGTTCAAGAGATTTCCTATCACTTCCTGCTCTAAAAGGAAGTGTTGTGTAATCTTCCAAGTACGAAAACAGATAAAAACCTGACAGAGTCTGCTCCTGGGTTCTTAGCGGGCTGGAGGAGGAGACAAACACACAACTTGACCAGGACTCCCCCTGCCCCCCTGAAGCCTCTTACCTGCCCCTCCCCACATTCCTACCCCCTCCTTTTTGTTTTCTTCTCCTTTCTCTTTTCTCACCAGCCCCCTGAACACTGCTTTACAGACTCAATACCTTTATTTTAACTATACCCAGCTGTCCAACCTATACACTCCATCCAAGACCCACATGTCATGAACTCCCTCTTGAAGTGCCCCACAACAAGGAAATCCTCAGGGAACTACCACTCCATTACCAACTACCCCCCACCATTTGTTTTCCTTTTCCCCCTGGTTTTACTATGTTTTTTACAGTTTGGGATGTACAGTATATGTACAGTATGCATCTGAATTGTAAATTTGTAAATTGTAAAATTGTGAATTATAAATGTCAATGCTTCTGAATATGCCTTTGCAAACTGTCATGCAGGCATCCGATGGTGCCACCAATGATTTCGAAAATCGGTCGTTTTTCAAGAATTTTCCAGCATGCCCAATAAACGAAATGGAGAGGAACCACGAAAATCGGCCGATGCCCGTGCCCTACTAACAGAGCGAAAATCGGCCGATTATTCTTAGGTTTGATTTTCGTACAAAAATTGTTCAGAATTCAAACCATGTATGGCCTGCGTTAGTGTTCCAGGTTGAGTGATGAAGAAGGTTTTGCAGGGGACAGCTCCAGATTGAGAGTGAGTTGCAGACAGAGTTTTTTTTTTAAAACTTTTAAGGAGACATTTAAAGAAAAATTAGTTGGGCTTTAGCTATAATTACTGTTGCAGAGAATTCACAATTTTATAGTAATTCTTTTAATTTTTGAAAACCAGGGACATTTTCATAGGGAACAATTTCCCAGGGACAATTCTAAAAAAAAAAAAGAAAACAAAAAAAACAGAAACTCTCTGGTTATATATTAACCTAGAATGCCAAAACACAGGCACAGCATATTTTACTTTGGCATGAAATATTTTTCATCTGTGTTGCTCTGAGAATGGTGACATTGGTGTCTCTGAGAGAGTTGTATGTGTAGAAAGATCAGAGTCCTTCACATCTAACGCTCCGTCTCCCCTCTTCGGATCAGTGACAGCGTTCTTACCTATTATATGCTCCAATCCTTGACAGATTGTGGCCTCTTCTGTACAAACGGCACAGGAAGAAGGACAGGTCTTCACTAAATAAAGGCAAGTGCTGATCAGGAGGAAGATGACACCTGCAACACACATCAGGTTAGAGATACCTCTGTCACCGCAGCCATTAGTGGAGAAAGTCCTAATGATTGATTAATACTCAGAGGACATTGTCACTTCTCTCCCCTGTAGGAATGAATCTACCAGCTCATTATTCATGGCTGTGCTTTCGAGAACACGGAACACTAGATCATACACTCTAATATCCGTGTCACCAGCGGAAGGACAACATGACTCTGTCTTCTAGAATTATGTTTGCTGCGGCAGAGCAAAGCGGCGCCATTTTAATGGAATGTTGGGCCGATGCCATCTTTGTGGGGTGGAAATCAAAGTATTTGTAAACCCAATCGCAAAAATCTCACACAAGCTTTAACATGTTCATATAATTTCAAAGGTCATTTAATCAGTTATACACAGCGCTACAGCCAATGGCTACAGCGTGGTTGGCTAGACCTGGGAGGGAGTCCATGGGCATCCTCTGAGAACCATACCCACCTGTGCGCCCCCTGGGGTGACACCATGCGTGATCTGTGATTGCTGTTTCCTGCGAACACAGCTGACCATGTGTCGGTGCCCATCTGTGCTGGCTATCAGTGCCCATCTGTGCTGGCTTACAGTGCCCATCTGTGCTGGTTATCAGTGCCCATCTATGCTGGTTATCAGTGCCCATCTGTGCTGGCTATCAGTGCCCATCTGTGCTGGCTTACAGTGCCCATCTCTGCTGGTTATCAGTGCTCATCTGTGCTGGCTTACAGTGCCCATCTGTGCTGGTTATCAGTGCCCATCTATGCTGGTTATCAGTGCCCATCTATGCTGGTTATCAGTGTCCATTTGTGCTGGCTTACAGTGCCCATCTGTGCTGGCTATCAATGCCTCCTCAGTGATGCCTGTCAGTGCCCTTCAGTGCCCTGATGATCAGCGTAGTCCCATCAGTGCAGCCAGGAGTGCCCATCTGTGCTGGGTTAGTGGTGCTCAATGTGCTGGCTATCAGTGCCTCCTCAGTGATGTCTGTCAGTGCCCATCAGTGCCTTGATGATCAGCGTAGTCCCATTAGTGCAGCCAGGAGTGCCCATCTGTGCTGGGTTAGTGGTGCTCAATGTGCTGGCTATCAGTGCCTCCTCAGTGATGCCTGTCAGTGCCCATCAGTGCCCTGATGATCAGCGTAGTCCCATTAGTGCAGCCAGAGTGCCCATCTGATGTGCTGGCTATCAGAGCCTCTTCAGTGATGCCTGTCAGTGCCCATCAGTGATACCTATGAATGCCTATCAGTGCTGCCTATCAGTGCTGCCTATCAATGCGACATATCAGTGTCCATCAGTGCTGCCTATCATAAGTGCTGCCTATCAATGCCCATCTGTGCCGCCAATCAGTGCCCACAAGTGCCACATATCAGTGCAGCCTCATCAGTGCCTCCTCATCAGTGCCCATCAGTGCGCCTCATCAGCGCACATCAGCGAAAGAGAAAAATAACTTATTTACAAAATTTTATAACAGAAACCAAGTAAAACTTTTTTTTTCCAAAATATTAGGCATTTTTTTGTTTCTTTAGCAAAATATAAAAACCCCAATGGTGATTAAATACCACCAAAAGAAAGCTCTATTTTTTAAAAAAAATGACAAAAATTTAGTGTGGGTAGAATGTTGCATGACCGCACAATTGTCATTCAAAGTGTGACAGTGCCGAAAGCTGAAAATTGGCCTGGGCAGGAAGGGGGTAAAAGTTCCCGGTAGGCAAGTGGTTGAATTTGCAGCTTTCATTAAAATGATAATTGGTAATCCTGCCAGAACGTCCGTGTTCAGGCAGTTCCTGTTAGAGGGTGACAGTGCTCTGTCCTCGTCTGTCAGTTGTGCTCCTGTGCAAGGGTGGACTGACAACTCATGGGGCCTCCGGGCAATAGGGGATCATGGGGTCCCTGTGTTCTTGCCCAAACTCAAAAAAGCCTATGAAAAAGGTACCAGGGGCATCTCATGGGGCCCCCTACTGACCCCGGGCCCTCGGGCAGTGCCCGAGTTTCCAAATGGTCAGTCCGCCCCTGCTCCTGTGTCATGCACTATATCAGTGGGGACTACAAAGAGATCCCTGCCGACACCATTACATAGGCTTGGCTCACTGTTTTCACCACCCTGAAACCCGCTTTCCATGCAGTCATCATTGGGATACATGTAGAAAGGAAGTGACTACTAAGTGCCTGCAAGAAATCAGCAGCATGGGGATGGAACAGAGGATGAAAAAAGTGAAAAATGTGTCCCAATTAACGTTTTCATATTCAGAGATCATTGATTTCTAGTGGCCCAGGCTAAATTTAGCAGTATCAGCATGTGTTAGGTAACTTAAAGCCCAACTCCAGGCTGCAAAAAAAAAAACTACAATGGTTTAAAAAGTAATTCTAAATTCTATTTTTTTTTGGGGGGGGGTTTAATGCAACCTGCACATTAGGGTAAAGTATGCCCCACTGACTGCCCTTCCCCCTCTGTCCCTAAACACATACCTGGCTCCCTGTTGTGTTCATTTCACAGGAAAAACTAAGAGCAATTGGGCCATATCCTTCTGCTGCCATCAGTCAAACTCCTGTGAGGAGGGAGCATGCCCGGAGGAGTCATGGCCACGGCGCAGAGCTCTGAATGAATGGTTCGGGTATGCCGTTCCTTTAGATCGGCCTTTCTCAACCAGGGTGCCCAGTGCCTGGGGTGCCTTGAGGTTTCTTCAGGGTGCCTTGGCAAAATGTCTAAAAATTTCTCAAAGCTTGTATACCAGCCTTTTAGTTACAAATAGCCACAGTTTTCATTGTGCATCATGACAACCTTCTAGCCGCTGGCGTCCTGACAACCAATGATATCATCAGTTGATAAGGAGGATGTCAGCTGCCTGCACAGCATCCTAGTTTGACCCTCCCCTGCCCCTCTCCATCAATGCTGGGGTCACAATAGCTCAGTGATGGAGAAAAGCTGAAGGAGAAGAGAAACATTGGAATACTAGTCAGTACCACTGTGCAAAAGTGTATTTGCTTTGGAAGAATAAATCACCTCTGATGTTGGGTGTCCTACATGTGTGGATGTTGCTGCGTTACATAAAACCATTAGAATAGTTTTTTACATTTTAGAATGGGGTGCCTCAAGACTGTTCATCATTTTAAAGGGTGCAATGGGACTGTCCCTCATTTTAAAGGGTGCCTTGGGACTGTCCATCATTTTAAAGGGTGCCTTGGGACTGTTCGTCATTTTAAAGGATGCCTTGGGACTGTCCATCATTTTAAAGGATGCTTCGGGACTGTCCATCATTTTAAAGGGTGCCTCGGGACTGTCCATCATTTTAAAGGGTGCCTCGGGACTGTCCATCATTTGAAAGGGTGCCTCGGGACTGTCCATCATTTGAAAGGGTGCCTCGGGACTGTCCATCATTTTAAAGGGTGCCTTGGGACTGTCCATCATTTGAAAGGGTGCCTCGGGACTGTCCATCATTTTAAAGGGTGCCTCGGGACTGTCTATCATTTTAAAGGGTGCCTCGGGACTGTCCATCATTTTAAAGGGTGCCTCGGGACTGTCCATCATTTGAAAGGGTGCCTCGGGACTGTCCATCATTTTAAAGGGTGCCTCGGGACTGTCCATCATTTTAAAGGGTGTCTCGGGACTGTCCATCATTTTGAAAGGGTGCCTTGACTAAAAAAAGGTTGAGAAACACTGCTTGCATGCACCGATGACGTCACTGCTCACTAGAATATCTCCTGAATGGTGCATGTTTAGGAGATAATTATTTAACCTACAGGTAAGCTTTATTATATACTTATCTATAGGTAAAAATAAAAACATAAAGTTCACTATCACTTTAACTATAGAATGGTCTCCTTTGGCCTCCATCGATCCATCATTGCCTACCTTCAGACAGTTGCTGCTCACTTTTAAAACAAAGATCCAGCATTCACATTGAGAGCTACTCATGACCTATTTCTCTGGCTGTAAACCCCGCAACACCCCATTTGACCCTTCCCATCCACAACCAACCCTTCACCAACTGTCTGTGTCCTCTTCCCTTCTCTCTGTTTCCACATACCTGACACAGATCACACCCAGAATAAAATTGCAAATTTGCATTTTATATTATACCAGCATCCATATATTATATGACTGATTGATGTTACTGAGTGTGTAAGATGACGTCATGGTCCCATAGCTTTCAACTGTCCCTCATTTCAAAGGACTGTCCCTCATTTCGAGAGACTGTCCCTCTGTGTAACAAAAATACCTCTGTCCATGTTTCTCATTTGTCCCTCTTTTTTGTCTTGGTCAAGAGCCTCCAAACTTTCCTAACAAAAGGCCAGTTTTACTGTCCTTCACACTTTAGAGGGACCGGACTGTGGCCAGTAGGAGTAAACAATGTCTCAGACTTGATGGTCAGTGGGAGCAAAAAAAAAAAAATACATAGAGCCTGTGGTCAGTAGGAGGAGGAATAGTGCCCCATCAATGGTGTCAGTGGGAGGAATAGTGCCTTGTTATTGGCATCAGTGGGAGGAACAGTGGCCCATCGTTGATGTCAGTGTCCCCATCATTGTGCCAGTGGCAGGAATAGTGCCCCATCATCGGTTTCAGTGAGAGGAACAGTGCCCCATTGTTGGTGTCAGTGGGAGGAATAGTGTCCTATTATTGGTGTCAGTGGCAGCAATAGTGCCCCATCATCGATTTTAGTGAGTGGAATAGCGCCCCATTGTTGACATCAGTGGAACAGTGCCCCATTGTTGGTGTCAGTGGCAGGAATAGTGCCCCATCACCGGTTTCAGTGAGAAGAATAGCGCCCCATCACTGGTGTCAGTGGGAGGGATAGTGTCCCATAATTCATGTCAGTGGGAGGAATAGTGCCCCATCATCGATTTCAGTGAGTGTAATACCGTTCCATTGTTGACGTCAGTGGGAGGAACAGTGCCCCATTGTTGGTGTCAGTGGCAGGAATAGTGCCCCATCATCAGTTTCAGTGATAGGAATAGCGCCCCATCACTGGTGTCACTGGGAGGGAGAGTGCCCATAATTCTTGTCAGTGGGAGAAATGGTGCCTCACCAACAGTTTCAGTGGAAGGAATAGTGCCCCATCGTTGGTGTCAGTGGGAGGAATAGTGCCCCATCATTAGTATCTATGGAAGGAATAATACCCCATCATTGGTGTCAGTGGGAGGAATAGTGCCCCAAGGGCTAGATATAAGGAAGCAAAGGGCTATTTCTGGCTTGTGGGCCACAGTTTGAAGACCACTAGTATAGAGGTATAGGCCTCATTAAACAATAAATTATTTAACTACCAAATCTATTATACTATACTGAAATTCTCATCCATCCTCTAAATTCTTATATGTGTTGTTTTGAGCATCCAGTAAAAAGGGAATTAGCGATAAAAAAGATTTTTAGGTTCACCTAATTATTTTCTGCATATTCATGCTTTACTATCTCCATGGCAGGGTTAAGTCCTTTGCATACCTACAAAGGTGTCCTTCTTTCCTATCTCAGAAAATTGGGGGGTACGTGATCCCTCTACAGCTTTCAATGTCTGTCTATGTCTATTTAGCCTCTTTATGCAAAATTCTTTTTAAAAACATTATGTGATGTAAAGTGGTTTATAAACCTCAGACATGAAATAGGAACAACGCATATCCCTCTATAGTGTGTACTTGTCTCAATTAAGAGTACTGTCATTTCTGTCTGCTGCTTCCTTCCTCTGCCATCAGCATGAATCACTTGACAAGTTTTCCTGACATCAAGAAAAAAATGGTGACAGGGGAGGGGCCTCTAGCAGATTGACAGCCTCAACTCTGGTCCTGTATACTGTGCGGAGGGGGGGGGGGGGTCCCTTCCCTCCAACCAGCTCTCAGACCTCTGTTGGGCTCTGCAGTGTGTAACTTCAGCTCTCTGCCCCCTTTTTTCTGCAATCTCAAACAAGTTTTATAAATTCAGTACTTTGAATGAATGTAGAGAAGACTGCAGATAAACAGGTATAACTTATGTATGAGGCTTTGTTTCATCCCTGAGGCCAGTCACTTCACTGGGTATATGTAAGAGTTTACAACCATTTATACACTTCAGCATCAACCGAATGCTGAAATATAATTTTGAGCAGACTGGCCCTTTAAAAAAAGGGTTTGCAGGCGTGTCTTCGTGGGTACCGTTTTTGTGACTATATAATGTGCAGTTTTTCTGAGTACATGTGCTGTATCACACTTCACAGAATGCTGCTATCAGGCTTCAGTAAAGGGTTTGAACTACTTGGAACTTGTTGAAAGCCTGCTAGCTGCGTGTTTAAAGTGGCAGGCAGCATTCCCATTAAGATCTGTGTTTATCATTCTCATATTGAAGCTGAAGGGTGCTTCAGATGCTTGAAGAACATTGTTTGAAGCTCATTTTCCAAATGCTTTCTGAAAAGCTTGCAGTATACGGTGCTCTGGCACAAACCGAAGCCCATGTGTACAAGGCCTAAGGGTCCATTTCTATCGTAGCACTGCAGTGATGTGTGTGTGTGGCAACACACGTTGCCTGGTGCCATTAGTTTTGAATGGCACCGCAATGCATTAAAGGATAAGTTCGCCTTTTTTGGCAAAAATAATAAATGCACATTTATTTGCAGGTAAAAAATGTGCATTTATTATTTTTGTCTGCAGGAGCCTGGAAAGCATCGCACCAGTGATCAGTAGATCGGTGATGCCATGGAGGTCTCCTGCAGACCTGTCAGAATATCTGCTACGGGAAGTACGGGATATACGAGATGTATGGGATATACGGGATGTACAGGATATATGAGATGTATGGGATGTAAAGGATTTACAGAATGTACGAGATGTACGGGATTTACGGGATGTACAGGATGTACGAGATGTATGGGATTTACGGGGTGTACGAGATGTATGGGATTTACAGGATGTAAGAGATGTATGGGATTTACAGGATGTACGGGATGTATGGGATTTATGGGATGTACGAGATGTATGGGATGTACGGGATATACGAGATGTATGGGATGTACGGATGTACGGGATGTATGGGATGTACGGGATATACGAGATGTATGGGATGTACGAGATGTATGGGATGTACGAGATGTATGGGATGTATACGAGATGTATGGGATGTATGGGATGTACGAGATGTATGGGATGTATGGGATGTACGGGTGTACGAGATGTATGGGATTCACAGGATGTATGAGATGTATGGGATTTTACAGGATGTACGGGATTTATGGGATGTACAGGATGTACAAGATGTATGTACGGATATGGGATGTACAGAATGGAGATGTATGGGATGTACGGGTGTACGAGATGTATGGGATGTACGGGGTGTACGAGATGTATGGGATGTATGGGATGTACGGGGTGTACGAGATGTATGGGATGTAGGAGATGTACAGGGGATGTACGAGATGTATGGGATTTACGGGGTGTACGAGATGTATGGGATTTACAGGATGTAAGAGATGTATGGGATTTACAGATGTACGGGATGTATGTTTATGGGATGTACGGATGTATGGGATGTATGGGATGTACGGATATGGGATGTACGAGATGTATGGGATGTATGGGATATACGAGATGTATGGGATGTACGGGGTGTATATGGGATACGGGGTGTACGAGATGTATGGGATGTATGAGATGTATGGGATTTACAGGGGTGTACGGATGTATGGGATGTACAGGATGTACAAGATGTAAAGGATGTACAGGATTTATGGGATGTACAGAATGTATGAGATGTATGGGATGTACGGGGTGTACGAGATGTATGGGATGTATGGGATGTACGGGGTGTACGAGATGTATGGGATGGGGATGTACGAGATGTATGGATGTAGGAGATGTACAGGATGTATGGGATGTACGGGATGTACGAGATGTACGAGATGTACGGGATGTACGAGATATACGGGATGTACAGTACAGATGTACGGGATGTACGGGATGTACAGGATGTACGGGATGTACGGGATGTACGGATGTACAGGATGTACGAGTACGAGATGTATGGGATGTACGGGATGTACGAGATGTACAGGATGTATGGCTAAGCAGATATACTGACAGGGAGTTTCAATTAACTACCAAGGCATTCTACAGCGCCGTGGTAGTCCATTGAAAACTACAAGCTCACAGCCACTAAGGCTGTCGGGAATTGTAGGCACTCATTCTCAGAACACTGTGAATAAGTGACACGGCCATGTGGACGAAGCCCTGCATGTCAGTGCTGTTTTCAAATTTGACAGTACGGGGAGACTTCTCCCCATACTATCTGTCAGAGGGAGGGGGGTGGGGGTGGCAGCTATAGGAACATGTTACATGTTCCAAAGGTAAACCTATCTTTTAAGACAAACTAAATTCGTTGCAAGTGCAATGCACCACAATGTCTCATGTTGCTGTATGTTGCATTACAAATTTTGTGACAAGTCCACAAAGAACTCTTGTTCTTTTGAAAACAGCAAACTTACTGACCAGATCACCCAATGAAAATAGAAGAAAGAAAGTGTTAGAGATTCTGTACAGTATATAGCCCTACAGAACAGACAGTGCACAGTCCACATGTGTTTATTTGCTGCTTCTCGGCAAACAGAAAACAGGAACTTTATTATAGAGAAAAGACATAGAGTTCTATCGAACTTATAAACACTGCCATCTACTGGTTGAAGAATATATCTCTACTGAACACTGAAATAGTTGTTGCAAAATACATGAACACTGTTTGCCAACAGAAAGCCTAAAAATGAAAACTAATGCAGCCTTCACAAC